AAGAACTGCTAAAATCTAGTTTGCACTTCGGAGCTGTCCCTCTGGCTGCAATATGCCTGCTCGCTAGAAGCAGAGCAAAATGAGTCAGTAAGTCCAGTTAGGAGGCTGTTGGGAGGACAAGCAAATGTTTGCACTGGAATCATAGCAGCAGAATTGGCAAAAGGGAGAGATTCTGAAGGTACAGGCACAGCAGAACCCGGGATACACTGGATGTGGCGTAAGGAGACGCCTCATAGCACCCAGTTTCTGTCTTAGCCGCTGAATTGGCACTGCAGCCATTCCATGGATAGACTGCACAACAGAAAAGCAGGTCTGGGGGAAGACAGTATGTTCCCTTTGAGGTGCATCTGTCTGAAGGACCTGTGTGATGGTCAAGTTCACAGGTAGGTAGTGCGTTTAAAATATGGGCAAGAGAACTAAGCCACAAAGAGAGGTTGTGACTGATACCTGCACAGAATATAGAAACCGCCAACCTTCCTAAGGAGTGTCTCTATGATAACCGAAGGCTCCTGAGAGGATAGCAGGGTATTTCACCTTCCCCTTCCCCTTCATTCAGGGCCCTTCTGAACGACCAGTTTTCTAATTGCATTCTGTGAACAGCATCTTTAGCCTCTTGAATAATACTCTCTTAATACATATACATTTACATGACAGCCACATAGTGTCCCATTAGTTTTCACTAAGGTTGTACTATTTTTTAAAAACCCCAATCAATAGTTGCATCCCCCTAAATTAGTTCCATGGCTGTTAGTAAGCAGTCTGCGTGGGAAGGGTGCATAGGGCGATAGAGACGTTTGGAAACCTTGGTCTCAAAAACTACTCTGTAGGGTCCTTTACTGTGATTTCTCGAAGCTTTAAATTTGCTGCTTGGCTATGACTCTCCAAAAGGGTGTTGCTGTGTTCGTTTATCCCTTTACTAAACCTTGGGTTGTGGCATGCTTTCCAGGGAAAGTGCTTTCAGGGTTAGTGACCACGGAACACTTTCAGGGGATACTAACATAAGTGTAAAAACTGTCCCAACGTTCCACATGTACTTCCAGAAATTGCATTATCATATTGATTTTGAAAGGAATCAACGTCTGTCCTTGATGCACATTGCCAAACACCTTTCCCTAGGGCTGATATATAAATTGTTACAAAGACCTGTTTCACCAAACCCCCCTCAGCTGTGACAGGGACTTTAAATCTGACCAGATTGGGTTGTGTTTCTGTAGCTTCAGGGAGACTCAGTCCTTTTCCAGGTTACTGATTTTATGCGGCTGCTTTCGTGAGAACCTTCTCACAAAAAGATAAGTGGTCTATCTCCATAATCCGATATGACTGTAGAATGTTATGTGGGTATAGCGGTCATTCTTGTTTTTCATTTGCTTTTTCGTGGTGTTCTTTTTCATGGTGTTCTTTTTGAACATGTGGAGCTTTTACCTCTTTATGTGTCATTTCTCTGAGGCATCACAGTTTTTAAGCTACAAAAGTCCTTACATAAAACTTTAAACACTTAATGATCACTTCTCGGGGTTTTTTTGTTGTTATTCACATTAACTCTTAACCCCTCTGGAATTTATATTAATTTGTCTTCTCTCCACCCCTGCCAAAAAAAACTGAGTTTATAGTACTTGTTTCTGAATAATTTTCCCTTTCAAAATTGACATATTATACCCATGCAGTCTTCAGTAATTTTATAAGAAAATAATTTACCTACACCTCCTAAATTAGCAAATTGAGATAAATGAGAATTTATTAATGGTCAGTTACTTTAGCCAGTATCGGACTTACGACAAGCATATTTTGCAATGTTAATGCGATGAAACCATGATATTTATAAACTGGCTTACATTTAATTTGATGTGGTAGTAGAAATTTCCTTCCTTGAAGCTCATGGAAGAGGCCACTAGGAAGAAGACTGGTGTGTTTAAAGAAATTTGAAAATTAAAATGAAGAAAGGGAAAGTTTGTCAGTAATCAGTGTTACTAATAAAAGCAGCCACTTTACCAACATTATCAGGATTAATTCTTACATTCTGCTTCACAGCTGAGAAAAAGCAGAGACTCGGAAGCCAGTTATCCCAAGCCTGGGAGCTGGGAAGGGCAGAGCCAGGACTGGTTCAGGACTGGCCATCCTTGTCCTGCTCCAGCTGGGGTCCGCAGATACGGCCTCCAGTTCCCCAGAGGGCCTGCATCTGTACTCTATCCAAGAATGACTCATAGCACAGCACTCTGATATTTCTAGTACTGTAAAAGGAGGGGTAGAATTAGGAACCCTTTTGCTGAAGGGCTGTAAGCAGGTAGCACTTGAAATTCTTTCTCCTCCAAGAGTGAACTTGGAGACCCTGAAGGTGAAGGAGTGGGTACTCCTCTCTGGTGTGGGAACTTAGTTGCTCAGAGGTAAGCTCCTCGGATCTGGTCAAGGCCCTCGGCTTAGCTAAATGCATGGGAGCTCACGTTTTCCCAAACGTCCCTTCTCTGCAAGTTCACATGGAAATTTCAGAACAATCCCTCATGCCTCTGCTGCATCTTGCATTTCCAGGCAGAGCTGCTTCATTTCTAGGAGCCCGCGTGGTCCGAGGTGGAGCCAGCCTCGCTCCACGGAGACAAGTGGTTGTTTGTCCGGCCGGGGCCTGTGCCCTCCAGTTACCGGCTTTATGCCTCCCCGGCTGATCCTTTCTCCAGTCCCAGGGAGGCACTTTTGTGGCCCATTCCCTTTGGTCTCACAAGACCTTGAGGAGGGGTGGTGGGGGCCGCTTGGCAGGGCCCACCAATCTCCCACGTTAGGAGCATTTTGCAAACCAGTCCCGGAGGGAGCTCAAGCCCAGCCCTGAACAGGCTGCTCCTGTTCCCCCTTTGTGTGCGGGGATCGGGCGCCTTTCCCCGGCTGACCTGCCTGCGAGTGGAGACATGTGAAAAGTTAGAGACAAAAATGGTGTCTGCAGAGGGAGGGGGAGCGTTCTCGTACAGAAAGGAAGGAAATACCTTTGTGGGATTTTTTTCCCCACTCTTCGTCCAAAAAATACAGAGACTCTCTGTCTTTAATGCGAATGCCAGCTTTAAATCTTTTAGGTTTGGATTAACTCTGCAAAAGAAAAGAAAAATCTGACAGGCTTTCAGATATGACGCAGAAAAAAAACTTTTTTTCCCCTCAATTCATGTTGCTCGTTTGCAAAGCCAAAGGCTGGTGGACTGAATAGTGAGCGCCAGTTAACATCACAATGGTCAGAGTTAGCAGCCGCCAGCCTCCCCCTCCGCCACTTTTGCCTTTTCCATCAGCGGACATTTAACACAAGGTGGCAAAGGCAAGAACAAATTTTTCTCCTCTTGCCCCTCATTTAAAAGAGATTAAAATTAAGCCGAGTAAAGGAGGCATTTTCAGTGACGTGACTTAGAATGTTGAATCTTACCTTTTCCCCCCACAGCAGGAAACAGAAATGTGGTTTTTTACAGCCCTTACCTGACTAAAAAGCTTCCTTCACTCTAAACAAAACCCACTGACTTGATAGACATTTCCTATTACACAGTTATTGTGGTTTTCACTATTGAGGATGTCAGCAAACATGTAGCAGATCATGTTTTGCTAATAAAATAAAGTGACTTTTATGTGACCATTTCCCATGGTGTTGGCGTCTAGAATATGGGTGCCATGTCAATGAATCCACGTGGCAACATTTATTTTCTGAAATTTTTTATAATAGCACTTTTTATCAAAACAGTATCCAGAGCTATTTGATCCTATAAAGGGAAAAAATCTCAGCATTCTTGAACCGACACTCTATCGAGAAGCCCATGTTCATGTAAAAAAAAAATTAAACAGCAATTCCTCCTGGTCTTCAGTTGAAAATCAAAATGAATAGATAATTTGAAACATAATTTAAAATTCATAATATTTTTATGTGATGAAGACTGATTAGGAGTGTTTCTGTGTAATTCTGAAACTGCCTGTAAGAATTAAACCCTAGTTCATTTTTAATTCCTGAACCACACATGGTTAAAAACAACACTGTGATTTTTAGTAGAGTGTAAATACTAAATACTATTAGTTGGCTACACTTTAACAGGGTTATAACAGTACATTTACTGCAAATTTATTCTTGGTGAACAAATGGACTTGAAGTGAAGCAAAATATTTCTTTTGGTTTCATTATATGACATATTCCTTTCAAGTTCTGTGTAATCTTATTATATTACAAAGGAAGTTTTATTATAATTGCAAATAACCAATAGAATGTATTAATTTTGTAATCATAGAAACATTTTTCACAACCTAAAACTGATATAGCAATTTGGGATTTGATACAAAATAATTATTACAATTATTTTTAATATACTTCTACTTGAGTTTTACATGCCAGATACTTGGTTTGACTTAGCAGTAACAGAATATACCAACACAAGTTATGTAAATCTTTGAACAAAATTTAAGATTATTATATGTAATATCAGGTGAAATAGTAAAATATTTTATAGATATTTTAATTTGATTATACTATATTCATGATTTATCTGGATGATTTTTTAATATGTCATATTTTATCAAAGCAATTAATTTTTATTTGTAAATTAGTAAAGTTAGTTTTTAACTAGGATTTAGTTTACATGTTGTATTATAAGAGAATTTAATCCAGAACACACTCGAATTTTCTCAAAAAGATTGGTTTTTATAGTATAAAGATATAAACAAAGGTTAAAGATAAGTCTAAGTTATAAAAGAATGTCAAAGTTTATTTTTCCATGTATCGACCACAATAATAAAAATGTCACATAAAAATATGACAAGACTTGCCACATGATAAAACTTTGCTAGATTAGAAACTCAAAGAGGAAAAAATAGATACAGTGTATACATATATTAACACATTTAGCTTTTAATTTCATAAGTCTAAATTTAGAGTTATCATACTCTCTTTCTGAATGAGATTCTTAAAATTATTTTACTTAAAATGCTATAAAAGTAAACATGAATCATGTGTTGGCTGGCTTTTAAAGTCCCATTATTTCTGGCGGTTTTCTCAGGCAGCCATGCTGTTCAGCTCCGGGGTCTTCTGGACGGGTCTGCTCTTCATCCCTGCGGCCTCCCTGCTGCTCGACGTGGCCTACAAGGTGTAAGTGGGGCTCAGCGTGGGCATGGCAACACCGACCGGCGTGTGCCGGCCCACCCGTGTCTCTGCTCATGGCACCGACTCCAGAATGGGAAGTTTCCAGAATAGGAATCAGTGACATTCATTTGTTCTACATAAATAAAGAAGAGAGTGATTGAAGAACTGGAAAACTAAATTTGTTTGAAAGGCAGAATAAGAAGTAAAGCAGGCAGTTTCAGTTCATATTAGAAAGTACGTTCTTAGAAATTACCCTGAAAAACCCAGTCAAGGTAGAAGAAAAATTCTGTTATCTTCAAACACACCTACATATATCTTATTAGTGAACAATACTTGTGAAATGAAGCTTTTTGGTTGCCTGATTCCAAACATATATAAATACATGTTGAAGGGTTTTTTTGCTTGCCTGATTCTAAAACATATATAAAATATAGAACTATAGAACTTTAATAATTCACTGAAGGATTGTAAGTTTGAAAATGTTATCTCTTCCCACAAAAACGGTACCGTTAAAGTTAGTTACATGATGCTTACTTGATAACTGTGAGAGTTTTTATGCTATAAACCTAGGCCATTTACTTTAAGACTATCATTTCTTTAATTATATTAATGCTCAAAATCACTGCAATGTTTACATTCTTTCGAAAAACCTATCATTTCTACTCTGGTCACTCGTCCTTAGAAGCGTGATAATGCACCAGTTTTGTGAGCTCTTCAGTCTTCACACAAATATTTCTATGCAAAACCTTTTTTGCAGTATCAAGAGGACTGCATTTAAAACGTTAGTAGATGAAGTTCAGGAGCTAGAGGCGAAATCACAAGACCCCGGAGCAGTCGTGCTTGGAAAAAGGTAAACCACACTGAATATGGTCTTTTTCAAGTGAACTTTAAGTTTTCCTTTTACTAGAGATTGGAAATCGGTGGTAAAACTTGTATTTTATCAGTTAACAAGGAGCGAGCAGTGTCATCGACAGAGTCGGGAGTCAGAGAGATGTGGGTTCGGATCAGACCTGCCATTCCGCTAAGCTGTGTGTGACCTTAGCCACCTCGCTTAGGGCTTCTGGGCCTCAGTCTCCTCATCTCTACAGTGGGGTGATGATGCCTGCCTCAGGCTAGCTGTGAGAATGGAACAAAACACCATGGATAAAGCAGATAGCTCAATGTCGGGGGCTTAATGAGCAGTAAATAAACACACGTTACAGACAGCATTTGTTACTGAACTGAAAGGGGAAAAAAGGCTTTCGGCTTCAAACAGTACCCACAATACACTCATGTGTCCTGAAAATCAGAGCTTGACTTAGGGCAAAGTGCCCTTCAGCTGTACATGTGTCTTGGTATATGATTAAGGACTGACCTAGGCCTTTGTCATGTATGTGGGGAAGGGACTTAATGTCTTCGCAGTCCTTTTCTCCCCACCACCACCTCCAGGAAAGTGAGGTTAGAAAGCTAATCAAACTCATTAAATTCACAAAGCATTATAAAAAGAGAAGTAAGATTATTTGAAGCCACCTGTAACAAACCACAATTATGAAGATAGTGCTAGGTATTTATATTCTTCCCTTTCATCACACTAAAATATGCTGAAGCTTTGTCTGAACCATAAGAAATAGTTTGCCCTGGTCTTTGTCACCTTCATCATGACTCGTTGTTTCTCTGTGTGACTCAATGGAGTGTCAGGCTGCACACATAGGCTGAGACCGGGGCTGCCAGCCCTCACTTGCTTCCACGTGGCCTAAGGGGCACCTCACACCCCCTGTCAGGGGCACCTTTCAGAGTCTCTGCCTCTCCAAAAAGACTAGCACTGGCGTTTGTGGGGCGCTCCCTGCAAGCCGGGTGCTACACTCATCACTTCATGTTTACACTCTCACTGAGTCCCTGTGACAACTGCATATGAACCCATCACCCCCACTTCCCCAGATGGGGAAATAAACTGGGGCTTGGAGAGACTAAGTTCTCAAAGTCGGAAGTGACAGAGCTGGGCCTTCAGCTCATGTCCATGGACTCTCAAGCCCTGCCCCCAACCGAGCACTGTCCTGCCTCCTTGTGCTTCCTTTTCAAGACCGCGATAGAGCAGCACACACAGCCTGCCACTGACCCGACAAAGTTCTTGACCTCTCTAAGTCAGTGTGCCTGCGTGTGCGATGGGGATGATAATACCTATTTTCAAGGTTAGAGACGTTCTCCTCCTCCCTCCGCCTTCCCCTCTATCTCTGTTCTTTCTCCTAAAAGTTTCCAACTCCGCCCATGGCCTGGCATAAATAGTCCCTCAGCAAATGTTTTCTCTCTTTCATCCTAGCTATATAAAGGATGTGCTAAGAGTTCTTGCTCACAAAGTGTGAATAAAACCATTTATTAACAATGATTAGGAAAAGTCTTCTGATGATACTTGTTACTAACCCCAGGAGTAAATTTCTCATATGTGTATGTTAATAAAACTCACATGAAGACCCTCCATGTAATATTTAATTTTTGTGGTCTGTAGTGACAATCAGAGACAATTCATAAATCAGACTGAGGGCTTGATGTGATTACCTCTAGATTCTAAAGATGTGATAAGTCTGTGATGTATGTAGCCCCTTCCATGAAATAAGATAAGACAGTCTAAGAGGAAGGAAGTGAATTCTGCCTTACATGACCCCCAACTTCTGCATAGAAGATGCACCAAAGTGAACTCTCCAGCCCAGTTCGTTTGCCTAAAATAGCTCTTCAGCTTTTCTCAAGAACTCAGAAATAAGTTGGCTGTCAGCTGAACACCACGGACGAAAGCCCCTGGTACAACACATACCCCGTGTTGCTGCTGCTGCCCATCGGTGATCAAAGGACACTGATGCTCAGAAAATCCAGTGTCTTCCTGATATGTAATAGCTGGGGGGGGGGGACAAAGATCTGGGAAAGGAGAAAATCTAAACTAGTGGGCAAAGTCTTCACGTCACGCTAATTAATTGCATTCTCAGGCAGTAAGAAAATGTCAGATTGATTTTACTGCCAGGATTATTTCAGGAATCCTGGACAATGATATCAATGTCAAATTTTTTTCAAGGTCCCTGATTTTATCCACACTCTCAAAGAAGGAGAAATTGTGATTTCTCTGTGTTTTAGCAGTATCACACTTCTGTAGTTCCAAAACACATGTTCTTTTACACCTCCCAGTATTTATCTGCACATGCTGTTCCCCATCTGGAAGCCGGTGCCCTGGTGCAGAGTGGACTGTCTGATTCCTAGCCTTCTGCAACCAGCTCAGATGCAATTACCTCAACTGTTCACAAATACTAATTCCTACTCTGTTTACTCTGTAATTTGTTTACTCTTCTGTTTTTATATATATTACCTATATTACAATGTGTTAGTCTCCCTTATATTTGTTTGTTTCCTACTGGATTGAATTCCTTGAAGCAGAGACCCTCTGTCTTAGTCCTCTCAACCCAACACCTAGCACAGTGGCAGGAATGTCAAGGGAAGGAAGGGAGGAAGGAAGGGAGGGAGGGGGAGGGAGGGGAGGGAGGGGAGGGGAGGGAGGGGAGGGGAGGGGAGGGGAGGGGAGGGGAGGGGAGGGGAGGGAGGGGAGGGGAGGGGAGGGGAGGGGAGGGGAGAATGGATGAAAGTACTGAGTAGTGGGTGGTAAACAGGTGGTTGACCTGTGGGTGGCTATTTAAAAATAGAATACGTAAGAACATAGAATTATTGGTACATAGGTTACACTTCCCAAACTAGTTATGTCCAGAGTAATGATGATTTACATTTTTTGTCATAGAATGATGCAGTTTGAGTTGATCAGCCCTAATTTTTTTCATCTTCACTAAGCGACACTGTGATGTCAAGCTATACATAAAGTGAAACTCTGCTAGAGAAACTGTAACTCATAAGCCGTGTATCCAGATCAATATGCACAATAACTTATTTTTCACCTTCACTCATTTTCAAAAATTAAAATAATTAAATTAACTAAATTAATTTTAGTTTCAGGTAAACCTAAAATTAGTTTTAATTTTAGGTAAAATTAAAATGTTAGTTAAAATAATGAGTCTTTTTTAAAGGAAATAGTATGCCACTTATCATATTACCCAAAAAATTAGATATATTCCAATTTTACATCAACACTTTGGGGGGAAAGTGCATTTCATCATTTTATATATTCTGCTTTTGAGCCACGGGTTGTAGTAGAAGTTGATTTAAGCCTAAAGTCTTGGCAGAATAAATCCAAACCTCACTCCTGATGACTGTGTAGCCGTGGCTAATTATTTTTGAACAAGAAAATGCCATGAGTGAGACCCTGTTTTTGTTGTAACTTCTACAAGAACATGCTCCAACACTAGGGAGCGAAAACATCTGCAATTCTAAAATCCAAAACAAAAATTTTTTGGTCAAAAATCTGTTTTTCTCATAGCTTTATAGTAGGCCTTTCCTGGAAAACCCCAAAACATTTGTTCTATAAATGCAAGGACATTAATAGTGTTTATTTTTTCTGTAGTGTAAATGTTTATACATTTTACAGCAGAAATATTAATTTGGGCGTCTCTCAGATCCCACTTGAGGGTATTATTCCTCAAATTGTGTGCAACATCTTGCCTGCTTTTTAAAAAAATGTAAGTTCAAAACCCAGAGGATTAAAATAAGGGATCGTAGACACAGGGTTCCTTGGCAACAGGGCAGTTATTTGGGGGATATTTTTATATGCGTGTGAAGCAGTACATCCTACAGGCAGGCAAATATGATAACAAGACTCATAATTTTTCATATCTAACCATAGACATTAACCAGAATTGTTAATCACCAAGTAGAACTGTAGCCTAAAATCTTCAACTCTTTCCTCACTACAGTACTTGGCCCATCATCCCCATTTGGTCCGTAGTCTTAGCTTTAAAGAAGAGCGTGGGAAAGTATGGGTGTCACATAAACTTGGCCATCTAGATGGCAATGGTGGTCTCTCCCAGTCTTTCCCTGAGTTGTTTACCCTGATAAAAAGCAAATATAACATTGCTCAAGAACTAATAGAAAAGAAACTCTATTTCTCAGCTTTCTCACTGGATTTTATACCAGTGTTACATCAATTTCTGGGGCTTTAGGCTAGGCAGACGCATCAAATGTTTTCCCAGCCTGCTCTGTGACCATAGCTCTGTCTGGCATTTACAAAGAACAGTCAGAGAACAACGAAACGTTCTCTCTTCCACAGCAGAGATCAGGCCTGTTACATTCATTGTTTACGTCCGCACCAATAATACCACCTCTCACGGGACAGCTGTCACGTGCTACACACCGAAACAGTCCATGAACGAGGGGTTATTCACTTTCCCGTGGAGATCCATTTTAACAAGTCAACCCAAATAGCTTGACAACCAACCCAATGCAAAGACAAATGTAAGTTTGCTGCTCTTAAAGGATTACTGAAAATACCCTGTGACGATGTGTTCCAGGGCAATTAATAGGTTTTACTTATATTTTTTAATGTTTCAAAGTGAAGTACTATTTTAAAACATGTCATCTTGCCACCTCACCTCTGCCAGTTACCTAAGTTGCAAAATTGTAGTGGGCTTGAAAATCAAGTCACATTATTTAAGTGGTATTTGTTATGTATGTAATTGCATTAAACAAATTCAGAATTTGCACGGCTTGGTATGTAAATGAAAGACCACACAAGACTGAGTGAAACTGCTGAGTAAGAGCTGCGAAGAAAATGCGGTTTTTAGTGGGAAGGGATCCTAGAGACTTTCTTCTCACACTGTGTTCAGCCATTCAACAAAAACTGAACTTTTAACTCATCCATTAATGGTTAACATAGTACCGGTATATTTTATAATGTGACTTGATAGTATTATTAGTACCCATAAACATCAGTGGCACACAATTGCATTATTTCAACCTAATGAGTAGTTCCCTAATGAAGGTAGGATAATGCTAGAAAACATAACTCATCATCACTTACTATTTATTAAGCGCCTGCCTATGAGTGACATTCCTGTTCTCTAGAGGGGACCCTGCTCCATAAGAACTGAAGTAATAGGTAGCTAAGGGGAAAAAAAAAACCACCACCTCCTAGTTGGCTACTAAGGAAATGGAACAGGGGCATCATAAATTAAACTCATGTAGCAATAGACATCTGGTGTTGAATAAAAACCAAGGCATCAGAAGTGACCCTCACAAAGCATCTTTGTTCAGTGATGATCTCTGCTCTTGTTGATGTTTTACAATTAAGTTCTCGGGGACTTGGGGAGTGGAGACGGGGAAAGCATTTGTGAAGTGCTTTTTAAGTGCCTGTCACTGTGCCGGAAGTGACACCATTGCCCGAGGGGTAGGGATTGTGCTCCTGTGGTACAGAAGATGACTTGAGAAGGTTTGCCTGAGGTGGCCCTGCTAATGAGTAACAGACTCGGAATTAAACCAAAGTCAGTCTGCAAAGCCTATGCTTTTTCCACAGTAATATGCTGCTTTCCCCCAAAAGACTTTCTTAGTCCTTTTTTGTTTGGGGGGGTTGTTTGGGGGGGTTTTGGGGGGGCACACTAAACATTAGCTTGATATAAGAGATGAACAAAATTCAGTGTAGCCTTATATGAAAATGTTACCAAACAAAATTGCATTATCTTAGGTAGGTAAGTTGCCATAATATGAAAGACAAAATTCTCATGTTTCCCTTCTTAAACTCTGGCGTTGCCATGTGTAAGTATTACGCATTTAGAAAGGCCGGCCTGAAACCTGGAAAATGTATTTTGGGAAGAGGCAGCTCTATAATGTGCATTACGATCTTGTGGTCTAATGTAGTCATTTCCATTTTACGTCCCAGCACCCCAGCCGCTGAGGCTCCGCCAACAAAATCCGACCACCTGCTGCTAAAGCTGCCCACTTCCCCAAAGCAGTTAGTCTCTTAATGCCCCTGGGGTCCCTGGGCTGTAATGTTAGTAAATTTTTTTAAAGTGACTGTAAAAATGGCCCCTTTTCCTTCCCCTTATCTGTTTATTTCACTGGCAAAAACAGGTTTTACAAATATTTGCAAAACCACTGGAGTTTTAGATGAATTAGCTTTTTTGCCTTAATGTAGCTAATTCCCAGTGACAATAAAGTATGTCTAATAATTACCAGTTAACATCCCTAGACTTTAAAAAATATGTGTGGAAGATTACTACAGATGTCAACATTTCTAAATATTTTACTTTAGCAAAAGCCTAAATATTTGTATAACTACAAGTTCATTTTCAGAGGACCCTTTCCTTCTTTCCCATGAGATAAAAATCACTCCATGTCACGGTCTCAGAAGCATCGGCAAAATACTGACCTAACATAACTTACAGCAATTTAACCGGAGCTTTTATAGCAGGGAAAATGCAAGATGGAAAATGTTCAACTGAGTCAGTTCCAGTGATTAGAACAAAGTTGTATAAACATTGGCTGCAACTCGTATAGATTACTTATTAGCTCTTCATGCTTATTATATTCTTTGATATCAAAGCAGGGCTTTAGAAATCAGCCAGTAGAGAAATGGCAAGATCGGGAGGACTGATGGTGTTTTAAAAAGCACTTCAGAATTACCATTCAAATTCAGCCAGTGTTGGAGTTCCCTCCTGTATAAGGCCGTTCTGCATGTAGGGAGAAAAAAATAGGTGTTACTTCTGACAGTGTGTTTTTGGAAGTTACATAATTAATCACATGAATTTGTTCCCGTGGAAAAGATTATTCTAAACATTTATTGAAAAATAAATATTGTGCTGTCATACTTTACCACCATAATTACTTTCTGCGAATAGTTCTTTTATTTTAAAATGCAACTAAGGGACACATTTCATACCATATTAGTGGTGATGGAATTTTTCTAATTAAAAAGTCTATGAAATTTCTTCTTTGTGTAATTTCTAGGATTTCTTTACATAATAAAAAATACTGTGCACCAAAATATATTTAAAGCAGGAAAAAGATATAATATTTTTTTAATTCTAAAAATGCCATGCTTAAAATATACGTAGTAAGTCATTCAAGATTTTTAGAAGCTAATAAACTACTGGAAGATTTTTTAAGTTCTTATTAATTGTACTGTGCAGGTTCTGTAGCTCCATTTGACTGTAACAAAACTGGGGTGTGGAGAAGTCTTTTGAGTGGATTATTGGGGGCAAAATAGTCCTGCATCTAAACTCTTAAAATCCCATTCTCTGAGAAAACGGGGTAAAAAAGAAGCCACTAGACTACAGATTTCTTGGGCGGTCTTTTGTTTGAGTCTGCGTCTCTCTGGTGGTCCTGTGGGCACATGGGGGTCTCTGCCGAGCTTATCGTTCACTTCTCATGTTCGCACCTGCTCCACAGCCTCACTGAGAGGGCACAGCTGCTCAAGAACGTCTTTAAGAAGAACCACGTAAATCTGTACCGGTCTGAGTCACTGCAACAAAACCTGCTCCGTGAGTACCTGCGCTCTTACTTCTGTAACAGTTCTGCCATTGCTTCATGGTCTTCCTGAGAACAGTACTCTGACTTTAGGGATGTTTAACGATTGAAAATTAGCCCCTGAAACCACTTTTGCATATTTTGCAGCATGTTATGTGAATAACAAATGTTTAGAGAGCCCTTTAACCTCAGTCATCTCACATCTAGCAGAAGAGATAGAGCACAGTAACATTTTTGCTGCTTTCATTTAAAGAAAAATATTTCCACATGCCCCTTACTTCCTTAAATCTTAAAAAGAACCAGTAAAATAAATCTGAAGTCTTAAAAGCTCTCTCTGTATTATCTTTTCTACTTGAATAACTTTGCAATAGCCTTTTCAGCTTTCATGCAGAACAATGAAACATATATTTTCCCCTTTGAAAATATTTATGAACATTTAGAGTTGTAACAAATTACTATGTATCATGCCCTCTTAACATTTCAAGGATCTAAAAAAGAATATAATATATAAAGCCCTCTAGTGAATGTATTTGTGTTAGTAATATATCTTTTGTTTCATGTTGTTTCCACATACAATTTATTTTCACTTGTATATACTCGTGTTTAATGCTTTTGCTCTTTATATTTCAAGGGGCCTTTTCTCAAGATGTGATCCCCTGGGGGGGCATTTCTTATCCACATGCCCCCGCCAACCCTGCTGGGGCTTGAACGAGTTTCTTTGTTAGTTGCCCAAAGCCAGGCAGAGTATTGTCTGAGGGAAGGAGACTATTTCCCACCATTCAAAGTTATGGGTGCTTCTCTCTTTGCTTTGCTTCTTCCTTCCCTCTCATCTGCCTGGTCTGTGTGGGCATTCAAGTGCCCACTTGACTAGACCCTCCAGGCCCTCCGGTAGCCGGGATGCAAAAATTAGGTGGGTTGGACCTGGGATGCTGAACGGAGAATGGAGAGGGGTTGGGAGTGCCCGCTTATTTGTCTAGGGAGCAGAACTTGGAGAGAATCTAAGCCAGTCGTCCATCCCCCTCTTCATTTCACACTCGACTCTGTGTTTTTTCCCAACATTAAAAACGAGCGTCTTCATGCTTTGGAGGGTGGGGGCGGGGGGAATGCATGAGTTTGCCAAGTTAGAAAATGAGCACTCAGAACTCAGAGGAACAGAGATTCCCAGTGACTTCATGATGATCATTTCTACTTTATCTTTAACTTACAGACGGGTATGCTTTCTCTCAAGATGAAAATGGAATCGTCTCACAGTCAGAAGTGATTAGGGCCTATGATACCACAAAGCAGAGACCTGATGAATGGTGATGGGGAGGGGCCGCCCAGCAGGCGCTGCTGTGTCTACGGAGAGCCGCCTCCGCCGGAATCTGCCGACCAATTCCAGCCTGGTCCAAGGAGGTGAAAGGTGGATCTGAGCTCCTGTCCTTGACTGACGTTCAGATACATGTGTATTATTGACATAAGCACTGTGCAACTCTACTGTAACACCATCTCTTTCAGATTTTTTGAAGTTTTTGCTAAGTCTTTGTAAACAGTAATTGGAAATGACCTTGTATCTTGCCAGAGTGCTTTCTTAAACTGCAAATAGGTCAGTATTCTTAAGCTGTTACTCTGGGGCTGTAACTATCCATTTAGTGGATATACCACAAGATGACCAACCATTAAAAAACTCTAAAATGGGAATAAGTGAATGGGACTCTTGATATCCAGACTTAGATTTCAGAATATGCTGACAAAAAAGAAAACCAGCATTCTTAAGGAACTGACTCAACTTACTGAGAAAAATTTCTAAACAAGACATGAATAAGTGTTTGTGTCAAAAATTATCTCGATAAATGTTTGCCAAAGAAGTTTAATACATGTATTTTTCATTCAGTAGTCATTTGCCCAGAACTTTGAGAGAAAGTTTACCTCCAATTCTGCTATGAGATCTGCATGCTTGACTTTTCAAATATAAGAGTGATTTGCAAACAAAAAAATGAGTATTTCAAGGCATTTGCTACTAAAATCTGTGATGTTGCACCTTTGGCCTTACAAATGCTTCTCTCTTGTTTGTTGTCTTTATTTGTTAAGTTAGAGGACACACGTGGTGATGTGATTCTGCATTATGATACTGATTTTTAAAACCGTATGTCTCAGTCATTTCTAATGAGGTTTCATCGTCACTTAGATTTTTCTAAAAATTGGCTTCTGCTGTAGATTGAGTAATGTCATTTTGTCTTAAAGTTTTCTCTCTTAAGCAAAATATGCTTACATATTCATGTGGTATTTCTAATGCTCCTGTCGAGATGTTTGAAGCATCATGTCGGGCAAATGCATGGGCTTCTGTACTGTGTTTCGATTCTCCCTGTTCGTTCCCACTAGAGACGTCTGCTGTCTTATGTAGCCCTGTGTTAGGCTGACCGCCCTCTACTTACGACCGAGAATTACTGCACAGTTCACTTGTTGAGCAGCTGCCAAAATCAGTCACATACTGCTGATTGGGACAAATAAATAGTACATTTTCCCCATTTAAAAATACCTATTGTATTCAGAAAGCCTATGACTTTACAGTCAAAGAACACTTTTCATCGTGACTTGGTTCCATTAATATGCTTTAAAATGTATTTTCAGTTTGATTATTTCCTGCATTTTCAAGACATCTAAAAATGCCTGTTTTGCTACCAACAAATGGTGAAGGGGCTGTTTTGAAACCACAACCGGTTTTCTACACTATTTTTAAAACAATGCTTTCATTTAGGAAAAAATAAAAAAGGAATACTAGTTTTCAGGTACACTTCAGAGATTGAAGCAAACTTTTTGCCTTTTACTCAAAAGCCTGTTTGCCTTTAAAGTGGACTTACCAGCAAAATGGGTAGAAGTTCCTCTTTCAAATAAAGTCAACTAGAATTGAGAGGTGATTTTTTCCAAATCACTCCTTGAGGTTAATAATTTCACATTCTCTTTGCCCTTTTTCTCAATCTAGATCTAACATGAGGCTGTACATCATTTCCTTCTCAGTGTTTTTAGCTATTTGGTTACAAGCACGCCTCCCACATTTTCTACAAACAAGAGAGGTTATAACACATACATAATTCTAATCTAAAAGGGGCAAGGAGTTGACATACTTCATTCCTCACACCCTTGCCTTTTGGGGTTCAGATTAAGAGAATCGTGAATCAAAACATCTCACAAGACCACAGGTATAAGCTTGTCTTCAAAATTCCAAAGTCACAGACTTGAACGGTCTACCGAATGCATATTCGGAGTGGCTTTTCTGGGCCTCCCAGCAGTGATGGTTGCAGTTCAACCACACAAACTAAACAACAAGAATGACGTGCCTCCCTCCAGAGAAAGCCGAATGGCAGATACAGACAACACTCGCCCTCACCCCACCAGGGGCATCGTCTCCAAAACTTTAATAGCAAAATAGGATGACTGCAATACAATGGAATTTTATGACTTAAGAAAACTGAAAGTTTCATGTTATCTCGAAACATGGATTGTTTCTATGGCGCTCTTCAACGTAAGCAGAATGCTCATGGTTAATAATGTATAGACACATGATTGGACATATGACTGATTTATGTGGGGGCTTTTTGCCCCATGGCTCTCTACTTGAATGATCAATATTACGTCAATTTCTTCCCTTCTTTGGTGGGAGTGGGGGATGGACATCAGGGAGTGATCTCCTTGGTAAAACTTACAGATTGCAAGGCAGTGACTTTATAGTGTTAAACTAGAGAAAACCCTCTGATTTTTCCACCTTCCCAAGGAGAAAAAAAAATGAAACGCAATCTTAGCAGGATTCCAATAAATAGCTGAAGTGACTTTCCATGAGTATTTTCTGAAATAAAGGACATGTACTCTTCAATTAATGGTAATGCTAACACCATTGCTTCATAATGTTTACAATTCAGAAAATACCACTTACAGCAGAAAATCCTCATTTGTTTTGCATGGAAAAGCTGGGAGTTGCTTCACTGATATTGAATAGGACACAGTGACATTGCGCCTGAACTTTCTAAATGTTTTATATAACACATAAAAATATATTGGTGTTTCACACCCAGAAAGATGCTATATGGTAGAAATGATTAGCAGGAAAATGGTGTTTCTCAGGAATGTAGTAAATCTGAAATGATGAATGTGCTGCCCACCCTCCCGTGCCCCGCTCTGTCTGATGTGAGCCTGCTACGGCAGTGTTTCGAAGCTAACGGAAGACTTTTTCTAATCAAGTCAGGTGAATGTGTGCTCACCTCCATAATATCAGCCATTTACATAAATTGTATGGTCATTAAATGGAATCAATAATTCCTCTAAATTTCCAGAGGGGGGAAATAAATGCAAGAAATCAGCATTTATTCTGATTGTTACATTTTATCTTTTAATTTTGCAATTCAGCCTTCTAAATGTCCAAGATGAGAGTCACATGATGGGGGCGGAGCATGGTGCCCGCTGTCCCTCACCTGTAGTCTGTCATCTCAGACGTTCTTTCAGGAAAGGAATGCTAGTTAGAAAGTCATAGATTGTATGTTTGTAGTTTTCAAATTATCTATAACAATGTCATTATTACAGACCTGAATAATCGCTAGTGTTTATTTTTGTGCAGATGACCTTTGTCAGTTCCCAGTTTTAAAGCATATTATCAAATAAGTCTATACTCTCATAATCATCTACAAAATTTATTGAGAAAAGGCCCACCCCATTCAGTCATACAGGCCAAGTCTGTGAATCCCTTCTGCCAATTATTTAATGTAACATCATGCAGTTGGTTACCTAAGTAATGCTTTTGAATGATGAATATTTCCATAATGCCTCTTAAAGAGACCATAGTCTGATCGTTCTCATGTTAAAATGACTGCAGTCACTTGTGAAACTCAGTTATACTTTGCTGCATTTTAATTAACCTTCAACAGCTATTAAAATGGAATGTAAGTTAAATTTTGAAGGAAAGGAAATAAATGTTTTCCATTTTCCATCTCGATTCATTTTCTGTAAGAGAGCAGCTGTGTTTTTGATAGGCTTGTGGTTTGCATGAATTCATATTTAAAGTGGTCCAGACCAACGCATGGCTATTGCTGTAAATCTTGGTGTTTATTTTGCCTTTTGAAATTCTATCATGGCTTACCTGAAGTTTAATATTCAGTGGGCAAATTAACTGGTCCTCCGCACAACTTTTGTTTAATAAGTAAATTATGTTACAAACAAATCTGAACAAATTTAATTGAAACTTTTGTTTAGCTTACCTCTGAGAATTTTTCTCAATAAAACTCACAGAACTTCTCAGCAAATAAATCTCCCTTAAGTAGGAAAAAAGCTAGATTTCATACCTGCTTACTTTGAATTAACAGCAACTTTCCATAGGTAAATCTCCTCGTACAAAGATGTGAGCGAAATATTAAAGAAGTAAATATTTTTACATTTCATGGTTCTAGAATAGAAGCCATAAATGCAGTAAATACTGTTGGTTGGTTGTTTTATTACTTGAAGCTTCCTTTTTCACATTTTCAAGACTATTAGGTTATTTTTTAAGCAGCCTTGGAAGGCAGCTATTGTACTGTGGGAAACTGCAGTTTGCATTAAAGATAAACTAGTATTTTCAGCTCCATGAAAAACCATTCCTGCTGAAACTGCTGTAGAAATTGTGAAGCTGCATGAGTGAAGAGTGTTGAATCTGTGACTGTAGTAGTTTCCTCAGGTCTGTTTATCTCGATGTTCAATGCACTGTGTTTTGTAAATAGTGATTACTGTTCATTAATACCGAACTCGGTGCACCATTGTGTGTCATTGGCCTTCTGTGAATGTGCATGTTTTAAACTGCAAATTTTAAACCTTTTGTCCTCTAATTGTTATTTAAAATGAAATAAACTTTACCATTACATAAAGAAAACTGTTAGTTTTCATTGCTAGTATTAGAAACTATATCGTTTTATAAAACTTCAAATCCATGGAACTGGATTTAAATGAATATAACCATGAATATAATCTGAGAAGGTATATCTATTTAATGGCATTATTAACATGTTTTGTTTACAATCCCAGTGGTATATGAAATATCCCTTCATTTTTACCCAGCTAAATCAGGCGTGAAATGGAATGTATTAACGCTAGTATAGCAAGAAGGATAGTTTTTTAAGTATATTTTATTGATTATGCTATTACAGTTGTCCCATTTTTTTTCTCCCCGTTATTCTGCTCCACCCCGCACCCCCTCCCTCCCTCCCTCCCTCCTTCCCTCCAGCATTCCCCGCCCTTGGTTCATGTCCATGGGTCGTACATGTAAGTTCTTTGACTTCTCCATTTGCCATACTATTCCTAACCTCCTCCTTTCTGTTTTGCACCAACCATTTATGCTTCTTATTCCCTGTACCTTTGCCTCCGTTCTCCCCATCCCCTTCCCCCTCCCTCTCTCCCCCTCCCCACTGATAACCCCCCACGTGATCTCCATTTCTGTGATTCCATCCCCGTTCTAGTCATTTGCTTAGTTTGTTTTTGTTTTCGTATTTGTGATAATTAAGTATTAAAAAGGAATAATTTAAATGAAATTATTATGTTTTGATTCTTTGGTCAGAGAAGCCTTCCAGGATTGTTCCCCTTTGGTATTTAAATCAGCCTGCAGTTGAACACCTAACTCATGGCGCCATCCTTCACGTAGGGTGAATTTCTTAGGGTATCTAAACCCACCAAATTCTTTTAAGTTTATGAGAATGTGGTCAAGTTTAGCCATTAATATTTGAATAAAGTAACCGGGAAGATAATATAATAGCCATGTAATACAGAAGTACAGGCAACATCAGAAATGAAGACAATAGTGCTATCAAAAACAAGCATCATTGAATAAGAGGTAACAAAAGCTGCAGTCAGGTAACCTGGGTGGAGTGGGGTCAGTTTGCAGAGAGGAAGCCGTCTGAGGAGGCCCTGGTTTTGCTAGAGTGAGGCAGTGTATGCTCAGCTGTCCGAGGCCCCTGTCCTTTCCCATAGTTTTCCCAGGGACAGGGACTGGGTGAGGGCGCCCCAAGCAATACCACTGCAAAATAGTGTCCACACAGAACAATTACCTGTGAATTATGTCCAGTGATTCTCACATTCAACTTTATTCCCCTCAACATAAGCACTGTTTACACTGACCCTGTAGTGTAAAATGCCTTCTAGTATAAAGGAAGAGCAACCTTGAAATACATTCCCATAAATTCAATACATCATCCCCATGTCAAAGTGTTCGTACACTGAAGGCATCTCTAACCCAGAGCTTCCATTTCAGCAACACAAAGCCACTCATTTTCAGAAAGAAGAAAATCTTCCTAATCTGGGTAATTTCACTAGGAAGCTACTAAAAATTGTTGGGAAATATCAAGCATTTTACCATTCAAGTTTTTAGAATTACTTAATTTATTGGGGTGAGACTGGTGAATAAAACCACATAGGTTTCAACTGTTACATAGGTTCTGTAACATGGTCTGCATACTGCGCTGTGTGCTCACCACCCAAAGTCAAGTTTATTTCCGCCACAAATGGCCCTGTACCCTCTTCCACCTCCCCTCACCCCCTTTTCCTCTGGCTATCACCATACTGTTGTCTGTGTCCATAAGGATGGGGGTTTTTTGCTTAATAACTTCACCTTTATTCCCCAGTCCCCCAACCCCTCTCCCCTCTGACAGCTGTCAGTCTGTTCTGTGTATCTATGAGTCTGTTTCTATTTTGTTCGTTTATTTTGCTCATCAGACTCTACATTAAAGTAAGATCATATGGTACTTGTTTTTCTCTGGCTGGCTTATTTCACTTAGTATAATATTCTCCAGGTCCATCCATGATGTCACAAAATTTAACATTTCCTTTTTTACAGCCAAGTAGTGTTCCACTGTGAGTAAATGTACCACATCTTGTTTATTCACTCATCCACTGATGGGAATTTGGCTACTTTCAGATTGGCCGTTGTAAATAACACTGCTATGAACATAGGATATATTATTTAAATCCATTTTGAGTTTATTCTTGTGTGTGGATTAAGAAGGTTGCCTAGTTTCTTTTCTTTCTTTCTTTTTTTTTCATGTACCTGTTCAATTTTCCCACACCATTTATTGAATAGACTTTCTACTCCACTGTATGTCTTGCCTCCTCTGTCAAGTTAATTAACCATAAAGGTGTGAGTATCTTAATAGGAATTGTGCTGAATCTGGAGATTGCTTTGGGTAGTATGGGCATTTTAATGATGTTAATTCTTCCTGCCCATGAACACTTAATTGTATCTTCCTCAATTTCTTTCTTCAGTATCCTATAAATTTTTCAAGTAAATGTTACCTTCTTGGTTAAATTTATTCTTAGTTACGTACCTTATTTGTGTGTGTGTGTGACACTGTGAATAGAATGATTTTCTTAGTCTCTCTTCCTGATAGTTTATTATTGGTGTATAAAATGCCACCAATTTCTGAATATTCTGTATACTACTACTTTACTGACTTCCTTTTATCAGTTCTAGTCGTTTTTTGGTGGCACTTTTACAGTTTTGCACGTAGTGTCATGTCATCTGCAAATAATGACAGTTTTACTTCTTTCCTCCCAATCCAGATGCCTTTTATTTATTTATTTTTTGTCTGATTGCTGTGGCTACAACTTCCAGTACTATTTGAATAAGGTGGTGAGAGCAGACATCCCTGTCTTGTTCCTGATTTTAAAGGGCATGCTTTTAGTTTTTGCCCACTGAGTATGATCTTGGCTGCGGTACATTTAGTTTTTCTTTTGAGTTCCAACTATGTCACCAGAAATTCAAATAAGAATTCTGTGTCAGAATAATTTTATGAATAACTAATATTTAATAGCAGCTTTAAAATGGCCATGTACATATAAAAATAGGTTAACCGGTTGTTCCTTAATAGTTTAATATACCTGTAAATTCTTACTTTTCCTAAACACACGCTAAGTAAACTTTTTTTTTACTTAAGCTATGCAAAGATAAACTCACCCACCGAAATTTATCACATTCCTAATTGTGATTCGGTGTGTTTTCAGGAACCTCTTTGGTTGTCTCATTTTAGGCAGGAAATATCTTATGGATTTAAGTCAATCTGGCAAATTCTCCATGAGAAGAAACTGATAATAACATCAATAAAGAGTAGAGAAGTGAGGAAAATAAGAGGGAACTGTCTAACCATTTGAAACCTATTGACTGTATTAAATGGGCTTTTCTATGCAGGTGATAACTAATTATAGGCCATGAGTAGCCAGCAGGGTGGAAGGTGTGCTCCATCCCTGCCAACGACAGTCACCTTACCAGGTATTAGCAGAGGCCATAGGTTATCCCGGGCCAACTCTGTCAAACTGTCTGACCATTTTCTCTGTTCCCCTCACTCCCCCCAGCAGTTACAGCCACCCTCCCACAGTACTTAACCTTTCATTTTTATCTTAGGGTATTTCATCTGCTTTCTATTACTTATCATTAACTTACGACACAGCTCCCTCCCTGCTAGGATGCAAGTGATTTGAGACAGTGACTCTAACTTCCTATTTCTCATGACAGCCCTACAATAAGGTACCATTAATATTTCCATTTTCCAAATGAGAAAAAAAAGTGAAGTTAAGTAAGTGGCCAAAAGTCACTCAGCTTATAAGCAACAGCCAGAAAACTAACCCAGACTCTGTGACTCCAAAATCCGTGCTGAACTGCCTTCTGGGCTGAAGTTTCTCATGTGTAACGGGAGAGATGTATTTCATGTAGCATTTCTGTATCTCTGCTTGTGCTTTGTATCATTCTAGGTTCTCATAGTGTAGCACAAACTCCACTGACCATTACAATCCTCTCTACAGGATGTGTTCAGCATTGTACAATCACTGCTTCCCCAATAGATTTTCTGGAAAGTAGGTTAGGTATTTTTTTTCCTAAGAAAATTGGGCCTTCTAGGTAGGTGTCATAAAGAATGTAGAGTGTCAAAGCAGACTTTCTGTGTTTAAATGTTGGCTCTGCTCTTTTTTAAAATTTGTATTTATTGATTTGAGAGGAAAGGAGAGAGAAAGAGAACTATCGATTGTTGTTCCACTTATGCATTCATCGGATGATTCTTGTATGTGTCCTGATGGATCAAACCTCCTGCAACCTTGGTGTATCAGAACAACGCTCTAAAAGCAACTGAGCTACCGGCCAGGGCGTTGGCTCTGCTGTTATTATCTGGCCATGGGCACTTTCTGCTTTGATTTTTTCATCAATGAAACAGGCATGATAATAGTCCCTACTTCAGGGTTGGGAAGATTAAATGATATAATTCCTCCAGCACTGGAGACAAAGGTGGTGCTTGATAAATGCTGCCAATTATTTGAATAACTGCCTTTCAAAATGGAGAGCTGTTTTTCAAAATAATCATGGTTTTAGGATGTTGGAACTCAGATTCTTTGTGAAGGTAACCAAGCGTTAATCAGACGAGTCTCCTTTATGTTCCACCTGCAGTGTAGCAGGTTGTGGTGAGAGTCTACTTGCAAATTTCAAGTGATTTAATGTGACCTTGACGGCCTAGTCTTTCTAAAATGAAGATGGAGTCAAATCACTCTCCCTTATCAAATTCTTCAAGGCTGCCCTTTGCTTTCGGTATATATGCAGCCACCATGGAGTTCAAGATCTCTCATCTGATCCTGCTTGTCTCTCTACTCTTTCTTCTTTGAATTCTTTGTCTAGTTTCCAGAATGTTCCCTGCTCCTTCACACTCGTGGATGCTTCTCTGCCTTTCTGTGGACTCTGTCCTTTGCCTAAGCTGCTCCCCCACCCCCGTCATCACTCAGGGCTCAGGCCCCGTCTCATCCTCTCCAGAGGGCTTGGGGGCCCTTCCTGCTGCCAGCACTCTCTGAGTACACTTGTCCTGTCGTTGCCATCATGTCGTTGCCATGCCTAAGTGTTGATTTATGAGTTCATCTTCCTCTACCTGACTGTGAGCTCCTAGAGAGTAGGAGAGATAGCGTGCTTCCTTTATGAAGCATGCACACCATCACACATATTTGCTGCCATGCCTGCGTCCAAGGAAAAAGTGGTTCCTTGAATCAGAACTGTATGCCATTTATCTTGGTCCTCCCGGCCCCTAGCTCAGTGCTTGACCCAGCAGTGATGTCCAACACATGCTTTCTGAATGCAAATCTGCCACAGGCTGGCCTTTTTGCCCTGGAAGTGAATAATGATAGTATCAGCTACCTAGCTTCCAGAGAAAAGCTCAAAGTCATGCACTGCCTGTCAACAAGTACGTGTTGACCCGTACTTGTGTATTAATGAAGTACCCAATGTCTCCTTCATTTCAAACAGTTTACAGCCAGTGGCCTGGATTGATGGGAGCAGGCTGCTAAGGCAGGGAAGGTCGCAGATGGGACCTTCCAGAATTCTTCAACATTATTCTGCCTAGTAGATTCAAACTGCTTCCCAAAGGAACGGCACATAAAGTTTCAGCTACTAGAGAAACCTGACAAACCGGACGGTTCTCAGTGGGGGCAGTTCTGCCCTCTAGAGGACACTGTGAAATCGTGTGGGTGCACCTCTGGCCTCTGAGTTTGTGGGACGGGTGTGCTATGGGCGTTCCCTGGAGAGACCCCACAGCACATGGGACAGTACACACATCAAAAGACTAAGTGTCCATCAGCCTGACTTTGAAATGCCCCACCATTCCCAACCTAATCCCATTTTCTCTTTCAAGTAATATTAGCACCGCCTTAATACACACTGAATTTTCCAGATATAAAACTACAGTGCTAATCGAAGGAAGATCAAACTTTGCCTTATTCACCAAAATCACTTTCCCGGCAGCAGTGCAGCTGTGGCGTCAGAGCTGCCAGGAGAGCAGCCCTGCTCCGGGATCTGGGACTGTCGATGTCGGTGACTCTGAAGCTGTGGGCAGTTTGCCTCTGAATCCTTCGTTTAGTCTGCCCAAGCCATTATATTTTGAAATAAATTACTTTCTTTCTCCTTTCTATTTATCAAGAGGGCACTGTATTGATTTTTTAAATTATATGTGTAGCTCTGGCTGGTGTGGCTCAGCTGGTTAGGCATCATCCCACAACCGAAAGGTCAAAGGTTCAATTCCAGGTCAGGGCCTGGGTCGCAGGTTCAGTCAGGGCATAGACGGAAGGCGACCAATCGATGTTTCTCTCTCACATCGATGTGTCTCTCCCTCTCTCCCTCCCTCCCCTCTCTCTAAAGTCAAAAATAAAACAAAATGGTTAAAAACCCAGCCTAATGACATATGGATGTGTTCCAGAACACTCTTTCAAATGGTTCTCCTTTGCCAGCTTCTCAGCCTGTTCTTTTTCCTCTCTCCTTCCCTTGCTCCCCTCCTCCCTTCCTTCTTTCCTTTCCTTCTTCCTTTCTTCCTTCCCTCCTTTTGTTCCTTAATTACGTGGGCTAATCTGGGATACTGGAAGTCAGGCCACTTTGAGATTCAGAGAAAGAAGGAGACTGGAAGTCAGAGCTCCTTGGCCCTTAGCCGGGCAAAGGCCCAGCATCTTCAAACTTGTTTCAGAGAGGGGGGCCCAGACGACTTTCTTAGGTCCGAATGCTACCTCTCACCCGCTGTATTTGAAAAGAGCTGCTAAGGGTGACCTACGATAGCATGAATCCATATAAACCTGGATTCCCAAACAACACCTGCAGGGGCCAGGTGTGTAACAAAACTGAGGGAGATGGCCAGGTAGGGAAGACCAGGCTGGTGACTATCAGGTCTGGTTGGAAAAGGGCCGGCATGACCCATGGCAGTAGGGGACCTTGAAATCGATTCTCATGAGAAACTGCCCAACCTAGCTGAGGTTTCATGCAGCCCACAAGCTGACACCCCAGAAAAATTCACTTCCTTCGCTGCGTTCAGGAGCCCCAGTGCAGGAAATGGCTTTTTAATGTACTTCAAAATCAGTGGAAGATCTTTTTTCTTTGCATTTCAGACATGAAGTGTTAAGTAAAGATGTTTCCTTTTATTGAATAGCAAAGACTGCTGTTAAGGAGATAACATGAAGCGCTTTGATCTAAAATTTCAAATAGGTTTCATGAAAACAAAGTATTTTATTTATTCTCCCCCAGCAGGATATATGCCCAAATATGTAGTCATCAGACATGGAATTCAGTGGCATTTGTGATATGCAATATTAGATGATTATAACCAGTAGCTGGACTTTGGACTCCACAGTTATTATTCATATAAAAATTACAGTGTGACTACTAAATAATTAGTACCGTCAATGGGGTAAATCCATTAAATTACAAATCTTTACATTTGTACACAACTCATTTTACATGTAAATGCTTTAAGACCCAATTGTCCAACTTTCATTTAAACATGAAATATTGCTGAACAAAAAGTCTGCAATAAATATTCCCTCAGGTGGACAGGGAAATGCCTTTATATACGCTCTGTGTTACAATGAGTATCTGAGTAAATATTTTAGCACTTTACACTCCTCCTGTGATTACTGAGATCTTGCATTCTGAAAAAGCTCTCGTATTTTAAACAAAATGTAGTTATTAACTTCAAAAGTAACTGCTTCTTATGACGCTAACATTACTCCTGGTTAGGTTTTGCTTCCAAAATCACAAATAGGTTGTTTATGGTCCACTCAGTCTACTTGGTAGTTAATTCTTTTAAGTGAACCTTCAGTAATTACAATCAAGTATTTTCCTTTGCTTATTTAAGTATATATTTGTATTATAACTCACTGAACAACTTCTAATGAAAAAAAAAAAACACGTAGACTTTTCCTAAACAATATAGCTGAGTTGTCCAATAAAAATCTCTAGCCTGTTTGCAACTTTAGAGTTGAACTGCTGTGTATTTTGAATAAAAGTAGCATAAATTGAAATGTAATGTCACCATGTTTTCAAAGCAAGAAAGCAATGATCTAACCCAGTCATTCTGTGACTGGAGTCGGGAAACTTAAAGACTAGAAGGCGTCGTGTTTTCTTAGCACTCTCTCCATACCATTGCTGAGTTCAGGAGAAATTTCCTCAGAGACACTTGTGGCAATGGCAGCAGCATCCACCTGTCTGCCTCGGTACTGTGTGATGGCTTCATGGCCATGGCCTGTCAACTGGAACTGAAGTCAGGACAGGTCTTCCCGGGCAGTGGGGGCTCCTGCTGGAGCGGGTAAGCAAAGTATTGGGGTGACACCAGGAAGCCCGATGGCTGGGTCAAGTGGATAGGGTGGCCTGTGGTATACGGTGGGGGTGGGGAGGGCACCAGGCAGCCCGGCTCTGCCCTGGCAAAGGAGAACCTTCGGATGGAGCCCCCTGTGGAGCTGGAGCTGGTCGCTGTGCTGGACTGCCTGGAAGGTGCTCTGAGGTTCGTAGAGGTCAAGATCATGGGCAGGGTCTCTGTCTGATAGCTGCGGAGCGAGAAGCGGATTGGCTGCTGTGACGGCTCCTTGGGTCTCAAGCAGGTGCAGCAATAAATTGCCACTAAAGAGCCCAGGATGATGAAGGCAATGAAGATGGAGCCAACAATCAGGAAGGGAACGTAGACAGGCTCTAAAAGGCAAAAACAGACAGACAGATTCTGGGACAGGGGTCTCTCCAACTCCGGGCAGCTCAGGGGTGGGAGGTAAATGGCTCCACACAACCACTAGTCAGCCCAGCTTCTCAGACATCGTTACTGGTAACTTCTAGGGTGCAAACTGGAACAACAGAATATTCACTCCTAGTGGGGAGGAAGGAAACTGATACTGTACTTCTGTTAGCAATTAGCCATCACATTGCACATCTGGAAGTCAGAAGGAACAGACTCTATCCTATTCATACACTGAGGAAAGGAAATAGTGCGTTTCTCTTGGTTCCTAGAACTCTGGTTTTAAATCCGGGTTTTAGTAGTTTTATCACGGTGGGGCATTTAGGGCTTTGACCCATATCCAAGGCTGCAAATCCATCTCCCATCTCAGAATCTTCAATCTAAGCAATGAGAACTAGGCCTGTTAAATGAGACCCTGGGGGATTTATCGGACTATGGAAAGAACAGCATAAAGAAATCCATAGTGGGGCCGAATGAACTGTGTCTCCTGTTGCATCCCAAAGTGTCATGTCTGCCTGTTTCCCAAAATAATCTGGGGTGCCTACTCCAGCTGCCACACGTCTGCCTCTCAATTCCCCACCCAGACTCTAGGAAGGTCGGGCTGAACCTCAGATCATGCTGCAGCTCTTGGTGTTGGTGGCCCGGACTCTGTGGGACAGCATCCCTCAGACAGAGCAAACCCCAACTCTTTTGTCCTTATACAAGGCACACATAAAATTCCCCGCCCGGCGGCATCCCCTCAGGCAGCTCTCCAGGTGTCTCCCCTGCCTGGCTGAGCCACACGCACAGGTAAACCTGCAGCTCAGAGACAGAAGACAGAAAATCTGCACTGACTAGGCCCTGCCTATGCCTGGCTCTTTTTCATTTGTCATCTGATTCAAGTTCACGGAAACCCTGCAAGGTGGGCGTGATAAGCTCTATTTTCCAGATGGAGAAATACATCAGACAGTTGTTGACATCCCCAAAGACAGGGAAAGACTTGTAACTATCAACCCCCCAAGTTCTGTGGGCTCCCAGGTGTGAGCTCCTCCGTGGACCACCCATTCCCCCAGTGGAAGGCAGGGCAAAAAAACACCCGCAGCCATTTCTGGAGCACTGTGCCAGGCATGCCTACACTCCCGGGGAAACCACAAGCCACCTCTGAGAGTAATACGCCCACTTTAGAGTTGAGCAGAGGTCCAGAGCTCAGCTGCCCAAGGTTACACAGCTGGCAAGCGACAGAGCCACAGTCCACACGAATTTGTCAGACCCCAGCCTCGCTGAGTGCAGAGACTGCGCCCAGGGGTCCAGGAAGGAGTCCCCGCTTACAATGGTCACTTACACTAACTCTGTAGAGAGCAACCGGGTCCCCCATGGTGAGAAGAGTATTTTTCTAACAGGCCACAACTGCCTAGACTTCTCTCCTTTCCACTGACCATCCTTCTGCTCCAGTAGCCACTTCCCAAATCCTTTGGAGGTCAGACTGGGTATTCTGGCCTCCGAAGTTAAATTCGTTGCAAATCTATCGGAGTTCTAAGGAAGACCCAGGCTCCCCTTTCCTCTGGGTGATCCGTCAGTTCGCGGGGGGCCGGGGCGGGGGAGGGGGGAGCTCCAGCACCATGAATTCCCTCTGCAGCTTCTCCTAGCCTTGAGGGGACCTTCTCTTGCCAGCTTCAGACCTCCGTGCTGGAGTTACGGCTCTCAGCGGCTCCTCCGGTTTCCAGGCCGTAAAACCGTCACCTTGAGCTCTAAAGAGTTTTCTGACTCAGGTGGAAAGCTTTAAAAAAAAAAAAACGTGTAAAGTTCCTCTGCTGGGGTCATGATTTATTCCGCTCTGAAGTGAGCGGAAATTTGACCCCTGTTTTCCGACGTGAGAATAGGAGGCGGGGAAGCCCCCCCCGCGACCCCAGTTTCTAAATCTCCACCTCGAAGACCTGGGTATTTCTGAAAGGCGTGACAATAGGGGGTGGGCCAGAGAGGGTAATTCGATGCAGGCAAATGAAAGGAATTCGGAAGAATGGAATAGCAGGTTTGGAAACGCTACCAAAAGACCAGAAAAGGCGGGCGGGGGAAGTGGCTTAAGTTCGTGTGTCCGTGGGGACCAGATGAGCGCACCCCAAGCACTTTGTTCCCTGCGCCGCCGGCACTTCTCCGAGCTCCCGGAGTGACGAGGGCACGCGACGGGGCGCCCTAGCCGCCTGGAAAAGCCGAGTCCAGACAGGTGCTGCCCCCAAAGCCCTTATCTGCAACCTCCCGAGCGCCCGGCGTCCCAGCTGTCTTCCCCAGAGTCGCCCGGTACAAGCCTCGTGGTCTTCGCTGTCCCCTGAAACTTTCCTTGGGGCTTACCCGCGGAAACCTCGAGTGGCGGGAATCCCGACTGCAAAGGAATAGGCCTCCCTGACCTGAAACAAGACCACCCACTCCTTCCTGATTCCCACCCACCACCTCGTTGCGCCCACTTTTCAAAGACCCAGGAAGCCCCCAGCGCCCGCTAGCGCGCACACCCGCCCGCGCACACAGCCGCAGTGGGCGGCCGGGCGGGGGTGCCGACCGACCCAGGGGTCCTCACTTACGCGCGGTGATGCCTGGGTGCTCCAGCTCGCCGCGGTCGTTGGTGCAGCCGCCCTGCTCCAGCCTGGCGTCCGCCGCGGCGCAACAGTAGCGCAGCGCGCAGGAGCCGCAGCAGATAGTGGCGTCCAGCGTGTCGAAGTCCTCCGGACACTGGAAGCCCTCGTGGTAGTTGCCCTGCACGTCTACCCAACCGTGGCAATACTCTCCGGGCTGCTGGGCGCCAGCCGGGCTCCAGCGCAGCCAGCCCAGAAGGAGGTAGAGCGCCAGCAGCGGCCCCATGGCTGCGGGCGCGGTGGGCGGCGGGGATGGGGACGCAGCTGGAGAGTGAAGGGCTGAGCCGAGGCTCGGCCTGCGCAGCGGTTCCGCCTCCCCCGGGGCGCGGCGCGGGCGGCTGCCTCGATGGCGGAGGCCACTCCCGCGTGGGTTAGCAGGGGCCGGGAAGGCAGCAGGGACTGCGTTGCGGGGTCCGCAGTCCCGGGGTCCGCATGGTGCGCGGGGGCCAGAGGGCTAGGGCCCGGGGGAGGCGCCAGCAGAAGGTGCTGCTGGGGCTGCTGCTGCTGCCCTTTGCCCGGATCATTACGCTCCCTGCGCCAGGGGAGCGCGGAACCCTTTGCCACCTCCCTCTCCACTCCTCGAGGGAGCCATCGCACCCGGGGCTGACAAGTCCGGGACCGCACAGCGCCCGGACTTGGGGCTGTCGCCGGGTCGCGAGCCGAGCCCAAAGGCAGGAGAATTGGCGATCCCCACGTGCTGGTCCCGGGACAGGCGGCCCCTCAGTGCCCGCCCCTGTCTGTCAAGCGAGCGGGAGTCAGCCTGACTGCGGACGAGCACAAACGGGTGCTTGCTGACAGCTCTGCCTGCAAGGCGTCCTTTAAAAAGGAAGAGGGCGGGGGAGACCGCGAGGGTGAAGAAAGAGTCCGCCCTCCGGGGTCGCGTCGCTGGAGCTAATCGCCGCGGGTGCGGCGCGAGCCCCGAATCCTTTGCGCTTTTTGGCTCGAGCGCCATCCTGCGCCTTCCGCAGGCCACCCCCGCCCACCGCGCTCCCCGGTGACTCGACCCTAAACCCGAGGCCTCCAGACCCTGCCCCCACACACCGCGGCTCTCGCACAGCTCAGAAAACTCCGCAGAATGAAGCAGAGGGCTACCGGGTTTCCGCGGCTGCCCACGCGCTTTGGCGATGCAAAGTTTGCTTTTTACGGGTGTAATAAAAAACGATCGCGGTGGCTAAGACTTGTCGACTCTTCTGTCGCCTGTTGCACTGTTCCTGACTCATTCCGGGGACACCTGTTCTATGGATTCTGGACGGATAACATGATTTTTAGAGGCCGCCAACATGTGCACTGAGTTTTCCACCCACGTTTCCACTTTTATTTTTATTCCAGGACAGTTGGCACATTTTCGCAAATACACACACACGAGCACCCTTTCCCCATCCCCTGATCTGCGCGCCGCCGCGGGGAGAATCGCGGGTCACAGCACCCTGCGGAGGGCGACTCCAACAGCCTCAAAGAACACGCGTTCTCTCCGTTCGTGCTCGCAAAGGAAATCAAAGAGCAAAATTAATGGTCATTGAGCAGACCTGAACTTCTGTTCGGGCAGAGAAACACATTTATTTAAGTGATGAGTCCCTGGTGTGCTATTTCCAGGGGCACTGCTCCTTCAGAGGCGTAAGTGCCTTGTGACCCTGGTGCTACGTGGACCCTGGGCTCAGCTCAAGCAGCACTTTGCATCCTGAACTTCCTCTCATCGGGCATCGGTGTGTGTGAACGTGTTCCGCGTACCTCGTGTATGAGTCACACACGCCCAGTGCCCCTGTCCTTGATTAGGTGTTGGAAAGCTGAGCGAAACCAAAGAATCCACGTTTGCAGTGCCAGAAATAAAAACGCGCGGTCACACACAGGTACCACGTTTGCAGCTTCCGAAACTCCCGGTGGATTCCAGGTTCCGAGAAGCTTTGAGAAACAAATTCTGGGGGAAACGGATTTCTGATTTTAAGAACCTCAGTTAAAGTATATTCCAGGTGAAGGATGACTTCTGATTTCTGATTTTAAACACTGGGGTTAGCCTTTAGTCAAGCAAATACAAAACTCAGGGCCCAGGTTTGAAACCTGAAAGAGGTCTGTGTAAGTTCCTGCTTGACTGTCCTGCTCTCTTAAATATTCTCGGGACAGGAACAAGCTGTAAAGTAAAGCCCAATTAAGTCCCGGCTTTCATCTACAAACAATGGGACACTTTTTCTTGACTTAAAATTCAAGCATATGGAAATTGTTTTTGCAGAAATTGCTTAGATGCTGTGTTTTTATTTACAAGAAAAAAGTTTTGCCAGACATAGAGGGCTTTTTTAAAGTTGTTCTTTAGGAGTGTTGTTTGGATTATATATATCCTGAGCAATTAAGAGGGAAAGTAATTTAGAACCACAGCAAAGGTGAGACATAGCGATTATAATAAGATGATAAAACTACAAAGACATGTTTACGGCTAATAACTTTCCCAGAACCACACCTCTTAATATTATTTTTGTTAAATTGAGACGAATTCCATTACATCACAACTGCATAAAGTTCTGAAGCAGCAACCCTCACTAGTCCCCCAAGGGTCAAGTTTCTCATTATCCAGCTGTTCTTTGATAGCACTAATATTTTAAGGAGTGATTTGTTGGCACTCACCTCCCATTAATTACCTTCTCCTTGCCACAGTGGGATTCTTTTCCTTAGGACACCAGCTATAATTAATTCCCTCATTCAAAGCCTCTGTCTATTTGACTTATTTAGAGGGTATTTAACTCAAATTTAGTTGGATAGTTACAGATGGAAAATAACCAGACCCTCCAATGACTGGATACCTGGTAGATCAGATGTGCTCCGGGCTTCTTCACCTAGGTGCTGATCCCAAGTGCCTTTACACAATTGTAACCGTGTGTTTGTTGCCTTCACACAGAATATCTTCTCAAACTTTACAATGACAAATTTTAACTGCAAAAGGGATGTTTTCAGAATGCTCTTTGAGCACAGTAGGAGAAGATATACTTCCTTTTTAGGTTTATAAATACTCAAAGTATCTGTTATTCTGTTACTACTTTAGTAGTAAAAAAAAGATGAGAAAGTTCTCATAGACCCCCCCCCAAAGACTCCAGAGGGAGGACGTGGAGATGGAAAACAAAATCACACCATCTGGGGTATTATATAGTGATTTTAGAAATTCTGTGTTTTTCCTTATCTCAGAAATACAAATGCCATATTTTGATGGAGAACATGACCATAAGTGGTCATTTCTTCAGCCTACATTTTCTTGTGGCTCTGCCTCCAGGAAATTGTATAGGAAATGAGTTCAATGATATGATGTCTGGGATTTGCTTTAATAAACGCCAGGAAGAAAGAGGGAGAGGGGAGGGAGAGATAGAGAGATGGAGGAGAAAGAGGAAGAAGGAGAAAGAGAAGGAGGAAGGGGAGAAGGAGACGAAGAAGAGGAGGAGGGAGAAAAGAGAAAGGGGAAAGAGACCGGAAGGAAGGTAGGGAGAGAGGAAGGAAGGAAAAAAGAAAAGGTAGGGGAATGGAGATGTGAAGACAGAGAAGAAAAAACTGAAACACAACAATTGGCAATAAGCTAAGAATTGTAGCTGGGTGAAAGGTACTTGTAAAACTCAAAATGAAGTTCTATTTTTTATGTATGAATGAAAGTTACTTGTTAAAATGTTTTTTATTGTCGATCAACAGGAATCTGCAACAGCATGAAACCAGGACTGAAGCGCTTTCAAACCTCATCTCACTCACTTCTCTTTGTTGTCCTTTGGAGCAAAGCGGACAGTTGAGAAAAGCAAAAGCAGAGAAGGGAAGAAAAATGGGGCAAAATGATTGTATCAGAAGGGGATTGGAACTTAAACACAATAAGGAAAGGGGGGAAAGGCCACAGGAATGCAGAAGTGAAAAAAATAAGTTAAAAATGACAATTAACTTTGGCTGTGGAAATTCCTCCAGCTGATTTGCACTGAATTCAGAAATAAAATAGAAAACACGAAGTTTTCGACTCTCCTTCATCTTCCTTCCTGTTCGTGATGAATTATCACCACCAAACTTCCTTTAATCACTTTGCCCATGACTTACTGGAATTCTCTTCCTTGGATCACTCACTACAAATTTCTTCTTCCAGGACCAAGCCAATCTGAATTACGGGAAAGGCATTTCTTCTCAAATTTGCTTTGGAACATATAGCAAGGTGCCCAGAAGCATACTCCCAGACACAAGCTGGACCCTCCCCCGCCTGTGCGTCAGGGGGCCTCACACTGTTGGTTTATAAAGAGGGGATTAGACACAGGGCTCCTGGAGCAGTGTTTTCTCAAACCACACGCGCATATGAATCACCTGAAGACCTTGTTAAAATGCAGAATTTGATCCCCAGGGTCTGCGATGGGGCCTGAGGTTCTGCATTCCCAGCAAGCTCCCAGGTGATGGGGAGGCTGCTGGCCTGAGCTCTTGCCTCCAACCACAAGGGAAGGAGTGAATTGAGCCAAAGGGACATGGTCACCCAAAGCCGATTCCCTCCCTTTCCGTACCAGTTTCTGGGTCACGCAACCCCAGGAGTCCTGCTCAAATAAACCTGACCTTGCCTCTAGGGTTGCAGAAGTCTCTCCCTGGTCTTACGTGGTTCTTGGGGAAGGTGGTTAAAAATTTGTAAACTCAGGTGAGGGCACCCAAACAGGTACAGGAGAGGTCCCCTACAGTGCAAGATGGCGTTGGGGATGGAGATGAAAAGAAGGAAGGGACAGAGCAGATGCAGGGTGGTGGCCTCCATGCTATTCTTACCTGGCAGGTGGTAGAATGGGCCTGTTGCCTAGCACATCACAGGGACTCAGGACACAGTCATAGAGGGAATCAGCGAACAGTTGAATAAATGACGAAACCAGTGCCTTCCCTTGGTAATTCTGCAGCATTTACCATACCTCACTGTAATTTTGTGCCTACCCCATTAGTCTGACTTCCTTCTTATTATGCCCTGGAACCTAGCAGAGCTGACTTGGTACACAGTGAGTGCCCAGTATATGTTGAGTCAATAACTGGCAACAAACAGTAGATGACTGGTTGAGAACTCATGACAATGGACACACATCTCACTCTGTCTAGAGCTGCCACTAATGAGTCTCTGGGAGCTGGACCAGTGGAGAGCAGGGTGACTTTCCTGGGCGGAAGGTAAACTCCTGGTGATTTCATTATAAATGTAGTTCAGCAAGAGCCCTCCAGTGTGTCAGTGCTGCTAAAATGGGACAGTCACCACCCAATGCCCCGTGGAGAGAGTGGTGGCACTTGTCCAAGAGAATAGCATTGTGATGGAGAGACAATCAGCCAGCATAGCAGAAAGAATATTCTAGTGTTGAGTCAGACAAGCCTGGGTTTGAGTGTGCCTCTTTTTGATCACATGACCTTGAACAAGGTCATTTCGGCTTACTGAACCTCAACTTCTGTGTCTCTAAAATGAGGGGGGTAAAAGGGAATGGCTTCTTCCTTACAGGAAGGTTGTAAGATTTAAAACAAAACATGTAGCAAGTCTGACGCAGAGTAGGGGTTTCAGAACCAGTAGGTATTACCCACCACCAGCTGGTTTGAATCTATAGTCAAATAATCACGGGTAGGTTTCCTGCTGACCAGAATAGGCCTATGCCCTGATTAATTTGGGTGGATTATTTACAGTTCTCCATCATTCATTCCCTTATTCATTCAATATGCCCATTCATAACCACTGGCAATTGAATATTGATTATTCAATTTTAGATTTGCTCTCCTGAGACGTGCTCCAAAGCCGGGAGCAGAGGAGGACAAAGGTGGGTGTCAGAGGACC